AATCTACCTAAAATCATGTATCATTCATGTCCCGCTTGCACATATCTTTATATCGTAGTAGAGGATGGCCTCGACATCTTCTATCCATCTATAATTTACTAAAGGATGTCCTTGCTATCCTCCATTTTTCAAGTGTGACCCAGCCACCAGAGCCTTCGGTGGCTAAGCTTCGAGAAAACATTCAATACATCAACAATGCAAATGAAGATAAAGCATCTTTTTAAACTTCCGAAATCGCCAACAGAGCGTTTGATCCAATATTAAAGTACGACATTAAATACATTGATGTTTAAATATCATTCTCACCGGCAATTAGCAGATCACTTGGGGTCTATAAAGTTCAAGGCATCGGCTCTCTCGAGGTGTTGCTAGACTTGAGCGTCATCACTGTGACGTTTGCCGCGGGTCGGCGTTTGGGCACAGTTCTTTGTGGAGTTTCTTACGGTGTATCGGAAATACCCGAATGTTGTTCGTCCATCACGAGTGATGAAGACCACTTTTTATCCAAAGTAGTAATGATCGAATGTAGATCTTCATGCTTGTTTTATTGATTATAGCAAGGCACCACAAACTGTGGACTATTATGAGAAGTATGGGGTTTCCAGCGCATTTAGTGCATTTAATTGAAAATCTTTATCATGAACAACAAGCAGCCATCAGAGCAGCTGGTGAAACATCTGATTGGCTCGAGGTGCAAAAGGGGGTGAGGCAGGGGTGCATTCTCTCACCATACCTTTTCAACATATACGCAGAAAATATAATGAGAAATGTCAAAAATGACCAGACTTGTGACAGTTATGATCCGCTCAAAATTGGTGGCAACCCAATTCTGGAACTCCGCTACGCAGGTGACACAGTCCTCCTTTCGAACAATGTAAAGGAAATAGAAAATGTAATATTGTCTGTCGAAAAGCACAGTGAAGATCAAAACCTGTTCTTGAATTTAAAGAAAATGAAAATAATGTGCACAGATAAAACTGACTGTCACCCAAAAATAACAATAAATGATGATGAAATTGAAAATGTCACAAACTTTGAATATCAAGGCTCTATAATAAACAACAATGGAGACTGTTCGACAGAAATTAAAAGGATAACCATAGCAATGCAAAGATTGAACAGCTTTAAAAGTCTATGGTTAAGCACTAGCAAGGAGATACAAATTAGAATTTTGAGAGCATGCATCTTCCCTGTGGCTATAATACGGATGTGAGTCGTGGACTATCTCTCAGTCCTTAAGAAAGAGAATAGGAGCTTTGGAGCTGAAATGCTATAGAAAGATTCTCATAATATCTTGGACAAAGAAGATAAGAAATATTGACATCTTAAAAGATCTGAACATCAAGGAAGATTGGCTAATAAACAGCATCCTTTCTCGAAAGCTGAAATATTTTGATCATATGAAGCGCCACGACGGATTAGAAAAAAATTATAGCAGAAGGCATGGTACCAGGAAGGAGAGGCAGGGGCCGACCAACACGAAGATGGGCACAGGATGTAAGTGAATCCTTGAGTGTGAAAGTTCATGAGGCGGGAGAACTGGCGACAGACCGAGTTTCTTTCAGGCAGACTGTGATGAGAGCGACGTTCTGCAAAGGACCTGCTACATGATGATGATGAGTAATGATCCATGATCCTACAAAGGTGGCTGAATAGTCCAATATGAGCCCGGAAAGCTCTTGAGCAGTGCGGACAACAGATGGAAACCACAGTAAGTGTAAGATTAGCAATACGGTTCTTTATAGACTGCCTCCATTTTCTGCCTGTGCAACCTCTGCTGCCTGACAGGATAATGTACAATGCCTGGGGGATGTACGCCATCCAGAACGGTCTTGTGCAGCAGCCTCCCACGTCGTTGTGTTGATGCCAAAGAATTGAGAGCAGTTTTGAGAGTGACTTTATAGCGCTTTTTCTGTCCTCACTGGGACCTCTTAATATCCAAATACAGGGATGAGGGCAGCTCTGGATTTTATTTAAGAACAAGTGAAATGGTTTAGCTATATTACGCGGATGCCAACAAACAGTATACCACAGCAAGCAACTGTGCACAGGCCAGGCGGGAAGCAAAGAAGAGGCTTAGCATCCAAACTATGGACAAAGGGAATAACAGAGTTCCAGGGTATCCTAACTTACAAAGCGCAAAAACGGACACTTTACCCGTGAATTATACTGCGCCCTCAAGTTACAAAAAAATCAAGATGAGCTGAGATAGTGATGAGATCTGAACATTGTAGGAATCCGATCACCCCTTTCTCAATGTTCATGCATTCATTAAATCTGAAAATGGTTTAGATGTTTTGTAAAAAGACAGCAACGTAAATTTTTTGTCGTCACGTACTTAATCAAAGTGTTTGCGGATGTGCACTGTGTTCCAATTTCAGTGCCATGCATAAGTTAGTATTCATTTCTTAAAGGCTGTTTTTGATGCGGTCATTCCATGTTCTGCGTGGTCTTCCCCTAGTTCCTAGTTCTTCAGCTTGGTTCTCTGTTGCAGTTGGTACCAGGCAGTTTAGCCTTATTGTCAGTTTCATACCTTGTTCTTTATTAAACTGTTTGATTAATTTCAGTGCTAGTCTTCTTCTAATTTCTTCATTGTAAAATTTCATCTCTTCCTGTTACTCCGGTAGGTCTTCGAAGACAGCTCACCTCTCTGTTGTTATGAGTTTGCACTTATTAGTTTTGTTTGGGGTTTTTTGTTGACAACGACAGCATAAAGCTAGCTGAAAAAAGCAGCTTTTATTTGATTTGGCTTGGTATGTTTGTTTGTTTCAGTATCCAGAAGCCACGGGTTGTTAACCCTTAGGCTCGGTATTATGGATATCGCAACCTTTCTGCCTTGATTCCATTGTAAATACCGTAAATCTGGGAGAAAATGGGGCTTTCCTGCCTACCCCCGGGATTGAACCCGGACAACAAGGAGCTCGTCACCTGGTCTTCGCGCAATCCGGTTTAGCCAACAACGAGAGCCGGGCGTTTTGGCTTGGTATACAAAGGTATACTCTCAGAATTAAGAAGTGATCTTCGTGTCTTAGTACCTGATATGCTTTAGCACATCGTGTGTTGATTTCTCTGTCCACTCTTTTTTATTGACATGGTTTCTGGTAGTTTCATTGTTATAGTCATCAATTTCGCTTCAACCGTTAAGCGTTGTGGGGAGGCACAGTTTGCGATCCATTACTTGATGGGCAGCAAAGGCTATTGTCTTTCCGTGTCAATGTAGAACTCTTTATTGTTATCAATCCATGTTATCCTAGGACGGCCTCTCGCTTTCAATGGAGATCTCTGCATGTGTAGTGCCGCGTTGGTAGTTGTTCTAGCTGCATTTTTACTAGATGACCAAACCATTTGATCTTCTGTTTCTCAATGAATTTGCTGCATGGTGTTGTTTCTACAGTCTCTCTGATAATATCCCTACAGCCTGTCAGATACAATTATTTATTACTTTGTCTAGGATGGTTAAGTTAGCGGCTCTTCTCAAGCATGTCATTTCACGTGTAGTAATTTTACGTAGGTTAGAGAACTGAGTGATCCTGAGGTAGGGCGTCAGCTTCGAGTGCTGGAGTCCCGGGTTCAGGCCCCGGTAAAGGCTGGGATTTTTTCACGGGGAGTTCTAGTAATTTCTGCTGGTCTCTGGGTAGTAAAGCTGAACGCCCGAATATATTATTGAACACGTAAAAAATCCATATTCAGTTGAATATCGAAAAAGAGTAGCCTCACGGCGCTTCCCGGGCAAAACGTGGACTTAAAAATATACCCAAAATTATTTTTAGGATCCTCGCTGGTGCAACGAAGTTCATGCACTTAGCTGAGAGTCTTCAGTCTCAGGTTTAAGTCAAAAGTCGAAAGGAGCACTTATTACACCTGGGTGCTATGATGTTGATCCGTTGACTAAACTAAATTAAACTTGTATATTCGTCTCGCCCTTTCCTTGAGTGTTGAGCGTCGGCCACATCCCCTAGTAACTCCCCGCAGCACCAGAGGGCCCTACAACATCTAGCTTATCATACATCAATTCACCACCAAGTGGTGCAAAACCGGCCTGACTATCTGCCTATTCATTTCCCAGTACACCCCCAAGACCTGGAGAAAATATACAAAGGACGCTAACTACTCGAGACCTCTGAAGTGATTTATTTCATGTGTACGTTTTTCAAGTACAGTCCCTACATAAATGAAGTGCACAAATGGGAGCTTTCCGCATATTTATACTTGTTATTTCCTCTTATTCTGCTTCTTCTTTCGCTCACTTGAAATAGATTATCTATACCTGCAATGATGTCTCTAGTATGAACTTCACTGTCTTTCGTAATTCACTCAGCACTTATTATTCCACCTCGACGTTGAAAGGTACTAAAGGACTTAGATAGGAACGGGATCTGAAAGTGATAGCATCCCAAAGTGGTGGTGTGAATTGTAGATTCAGAAAATGGCGCGATACCTGTCGTCGCAATTTTGGTGGTGCCCGTATGTGATTAAAATTGATTGCGTGGGCAACTGCAGATCTGTTGGTGACTTCTGCTACCATCAATGATGAACTGCATTTCTACCGTCGGACTGTTTGAATTAGCACTTCGGATAGCTACCGTATGCTTTAATGCGAGTGTATGCTAGATATGCTGAGACAGAAGTCTGTCACACTTACCACAAGGGACTGTGATAAACATTCTGTGTGTTTTTCGTTGGCACAGGAGCGGAGCAAAGATGGGGTGACCCGTTTGCTATGAAGCTGAAACTAAGACTACCAGACTACCAGACTATCCCAAAGTGATGACATCAATTGCAAGACTCCTATCTACTCTTCGTTGCTCGTGCACCAATGTCGTTTGACGTAGTCAAATGACGTCACAAAGTGTTTTCATAGTAACTATTTTCCTTGTGTTCACGGAAACTGCACGAAAGGATGACTGGCCCATATTCGAGAAGTATTGTCAATAACTAGCCCTCATCAACATATTTAGGTCAGGTGCTCTATTTCAGTGAACGGTGGGTAAAGTGTCAGAATGCGCGAAGTTGTCTCCATCCATCTTGGACAGGCCGGGGTACAAATCGGTAACGCCTGCTGGGAACTGTACTGTCTGGAGCATGGGATACAGCCTGATGGACAGATGCCATCGGACAAGACAATCGGCGGCGGCGATGACTCTTTTAACACGTTCTTCAGCGAGACGGGATCAGGGAAGCACGTCCCTCGAGCGGCATTTTTAGACCTAGAGCCTACAGTCGTTGATGAAGTGAGAACTGGAACTTATCGTCAGCTCTTTCATCCGGAGCAGCTAATATCAGGTCTGTTAGTGGTAGTGATTTTAACAACAGTATCCTGTTTAACTCATCCTGTTTATAAGGATGTATAGTGGGTCCGCGTTTTTTTTTTTTTTTTAAGTAATGTTTTCTATTTTCCTCTGTCTATGACAACCTGTTTCTCAAGAACGCAACACAATAATACCGGTATTAACCATATTTCGCTTGCATACATCTGCGATGTGGCTCAGTCTAGGATTTGATTGAACTCGTCACATTGCGATACTGACGTTCTTAGTTACATAAAGGTATAGGAATACACCAGACGACGAACACACAGTTATTGATCTTTATCCACTTTCGAACAATTACACGTGGTCAGACGATCTGCATCCTTCTCAGCTGTTCTCTTGCATTCGACCGCACACATCCAGGTCCAAACTTCAACTGATTTCTTACCCTCTCTGGGTTCACACCTTCCGTTCTAGTCTCACGCTTTCCTCGTATCCCTATTAACCCAACACGGGATATTCGAGGCATGCTTTGCACACTTTCGTCTTGTTTCACTTGGCCTCTGACTTAGTCTCCCCCCTCCCCAACCAATCGGGAACTCTCTGGGATTTCCCCGGGAATTCACCATATTACACATCTTTAAACTTTAGTAGAGGCCGCCCAACTATGTCAACCCATATGTAATTAGGTAGTGTTTTTCCTTTCTTTATACCCCTGGTTATCTGCTCCTTCGAAGACAGTACAAAACAACAAAATCAAAAACAACCAAATCAAATCTGTGATGCCTGATGTTGGCAGTACCAAAGTTTGTAATCTCATCTTACCACTCAGAGCCAAGCATTATTCGTGGACAACACATGTGAAAGTCATTTAGCCGTTTCTCCTGGTACCGTTTATATGAAAATGGAGAGAGAGAGAGAAGAGAGAGAGAGAGAGAGAGAGAGAGAGAGAGAGAGAGAGAGAGAGAGAGAGAGAGAGAGAGAGAGAGAGAGAGAGAGAGAGAGAGGTGATACATTAACACTGAAAGTACCACACTTTGACGACAATGAACCGGTTAGAGTCATTGGATACACAGCTGTCCAACGATGCCATATCAGTCGATGAAACTTTCGCGTAACTGTAACTAAGAATCAATCTTGGTCAATGCAGAGGTGTTACACGACACTAATTTGCAGTCTGCTTCAGAGTTAGTGAGCTAAGTGAAGATAGCTAGGTTGGCGTTTCGCCATTATTGAGCTAAGTGAAGATAGCTAGGTTGACGTTTCACCATTATTGAGCTAAGTGAGGATAGCTAGGTTGGCGTTTCGCCATTATTGAGCTAAGTGAGGATAGACTGTTGCAGTGGGGTTCACGTGTAGTGGGTTAACTGAGGATTGAAAGTATCTGTGGTTTCTTCCATTTAGCACGAGGAGAAAGATAATAATGATGATGATGACGATGATAATGATGAAGATGATAAAGCTGATGGTGATAACGATATGCAGAGACCGAAGAAGAGGAATAATAATAATACTTATTATTATTATTATTATTATTATTATTATTATTATTATTATTATTATTATGTTTTAGTTAACTGCGCACACTATTAGTAGTAATGCAACTGACCTGTACAGTCAAAATATATAAGGAAGTGTTGATATGACACACATGCTATTTGCAGCCACAGAAGACTTCGGCTATAAAATACTAATGTTCGAAAAATGTCTTCAATGGACTTGACATGGGCAAAATCCTTGGCTTTTTTCGCCCCTTAAAAATGGTGCCGGTACTACCGTAAAGTGCCTAAAAAAAGTGCCGGTACTCACCACAAAGTGTCTGTTTCAGTGGCGCATGAAAAATACGCCTCAAAACTGCCAGTACTGCGTACAACCAAAAAATAAAGGTTTAGTGAATCCCAAGCTCAGTTGAAAAAATGATGGATAGGACAGACTTGCTGGTAGCGTGCATGCGTGCCGTCTATCCGCTTCGGGCTGCTGTTTGTCCCCCCGAGATCAGAGATAAGAATAGTATGTCGATAATTATCTAATTCTTCAGTTTTTACAATAACTGCACGTTTATATTATAGGTAAAGAAGACGCGGCAAACAACTACGCTAGAGGACATTACACGATTGGGAAAGAGGTCGTGGATCTTGTGCTGGACAGAATTAGGAAACTGGCTGACTTGTGCACGGGTCTTCAGGGCTTCTTCGTGTTCCACAGCTTTGGCGGAGGCACAGGCTCTGGCTTCACGTCGCTGCTCATGGAAAGACTGTCTGTCGACTACGGTAAAAAGTCAAAAATCGAGTTCTCCATATACCCAGCCCCACAGATTTCAACGGCCATTGTGGAACCGTACAACTCCATTTTAGTAACACACACCACGCTAGAGCATTCTGATGTTTCCTTTCTTGTTGACAACGAGGCGGTTTATGACGTCTGCAGGCGAAATTTAGATATCGAAAGGCCAACATACACCAACCTAAACCGACTAATTGCCCAGATCGTTTCATCCATAACAGCTTCCCTGAGGTTTGACGGGGCTCTTAATGTAGACCTTTTAGAATTTCAGACGAATCTTGTTCCCTATCCCAGAATCCATTTTCCCCTAGTCAACCATTCGCCGATCATCTCCGCGGAGAAGGCTTACCATGAACAACTGAGCGTAGCTGAAATAACCAACGGATGTTTCGAACCTGGTAACCAGCTTGTCAAATGTGACCCACGCCACGGCAAATACATGTCGTGTATCCTTCTGTATAGGGGTGATGTGGTACCCAAGGATGTCAATGCTGCGATTGCCACAATCAAGACCAAACGAACAATTCAGTTTGTTGACTGGTGCCCCACGGGCTTCAAGGTGGGCATCAATTACCAGCCTCCGACTGTTGTTCCTGGAGGGGACCTCGCAAAAGTTCAAAGGGCGGTGTGCATGTTGAGCAATACGACGGCCATATCTGAAGCCTGGGCCAGATTGGACCACAAGTTCGACTTGCTCTATGCCAAAAGAGCGTTCGTTCACTGGTAAGTGTTTCTTGTTCCTAATGGTATAAGTTTAGGTTCAGACGACGGATAAACATCATGGCACAAGGGGCGAGGATAGTAACCAAAATTTAGCCCGGGCAGCCGTTAAGCTACTTCTGATTTCAAGCCTGAGTCGCTAAGAATCTCAACAGGCCAGCTAGTCACAGCCTAAGAACTCTGTCCAGCACTCGGCGGAGGATCCTGAAATAGCCCCCCTTTCTGGTAGATGCATTTACTCACATACATACATTCAAAAATTTGTGCACCTTTATCAAATGTAATTTACTGTCAGCGCTTCTGTAGCTAAGCTAGTCTTTGCCAGTATTTCGATTTCAGTAATCCGCAAAGGGATTTTCTTTACAAGTGAAAGCAAGTCAATTACACAGTGGGCGTCCTTCATTCTTACTATCCACAGGCCTTAGGGAGTTTTGAATTACTAGAAGTCTACGTGAAAAAAAATCACAGCCTAACGTCTGACCCAACCTTGGCTGTTGATCACTGGTCCAGCACTCGAGTAGGATTATGGAGACGCCAATGCCTCGATGACTTTCACCCACCACGTCCTCCACCCTCCCAAAAAGCAGAAACCCTTAGTCAACTCTTTCAAACCGGTGTATCCACTGCCACCCCATGCAGTTATCGCATCCCGTAGAAAAACTGTCTCTCCCTATTTAAAATTTAGTTTCGTTGTAATCCCACCACGTCCTCCACTCTCACAAGAAGCAGAAACCCTTAGTCAACTCTCTCAAACCGGTGTATCCACTGCCACCCCATGCAGTTATCGCATCCCGTAGAAAAACTCTCTCCCTATTTTACATTTACCCCTGTGTCAAATCATGTTCTAAAAAACGTGTCTCCTTTCGTGTCTTTTCTTGTACTCGTAATCCCCTTCACCCCCCCCCCCCCCCCGACACCCTTTTTTCAAATGTTATTTGTCCTACCATTTATTCCAACTCTGTGCTACCAGTGCCAGACATGGTCACTCACAACAAACCATAAAAGAAAATTAGTAACCACGGAAATGAGATGTCAGAGAAGGGCTGTAGGAGTGACCATAAGAGATAAGATCAGGAATGAGATTATAAGAGAACAAGTCGGCACAAAACCTATTCTGGATTACATACAAAGACAGCAAGTGAAATGGTTCGCCCACTTATAGAGAATGCCTTGTGACACCATACCCTACAAAGCATACATGGCAAGAGAAGAAGGACGTAGAGCACGGGGTAGACCAAGAACAAGATGGAAGGATAACATCAGAGAAACTCTACAACAGCACGATGTGCCTATGTTCGAAGCAGCCAGAAGAGCTAGAAACAGAACCTTATATCTCCCTCGACACAAAAGAGGAAGTGAAGAAGAAGAAGCAGAATTTGTCCTACCTGAATTCTGAATTTGTGTTTGATTTTATTTTCCTCTGTCTATGTCAAATATTATCGGGTCTAGTCTACGTGGTAAGAAGGCTAAGCTATTTGCCTCGCGGTCTAGATCGGATGATTTTCCATGCCATGATGTCAAAGTGTCCCCTGTCTTCTCTCTCGATCTCCCTCTGCAGGACCAAAGTATGTAGACTGTCTCCTTCTGATGAGGGTAATCATTTTTCTGTGTGTGCCAGCGGGAAGAGGGAAAAGAAAAACAAGAAGTATGAGATAAGAAAAAGCAAATATGGCTAGGTCAAAATCTTGTTATAGACCCCTTGCCTCCCGCGTGCCAGATTTCTCCGCGAGTCAATCCAACTTAAAATAACGCTTTTTTAATACCACATCTTGACATCTTCCTTATGATTTCACACTACTGATCTGGCTGTCCCGGATTCACTTCCAATCATACGGCTTTCTATGGCCTGGGAAGATTATCTTCATCATCTAATTTGAGAGTTGAGTCAAGAATTTACATCAAAGCACTCAGGGCATTCCCTTGCGTGCTCCGTCCTCATCTTCAGCTGCCATCGCAGAGTTCTAGTACTAATAATTCCGGTCACAATCTGGTTATATGTCCGCATAATTTGAAAAACAATTGCATAGAATAGTCTACATCATTTTGGATCAAAAGAACTCAAAAACTGTGAAAGGATTTTGGACAATATCAGATAGAGTACTATTAGTAAAACTTCACCGCAGACCCTTTGACATCAACTTAGTACAGATTTATGCCCCAACAGCAGATAGTTCAGAGGAAGATATTGACGCATTTTATGACGAGTTAGACATGGCTGTTGATCAATGCAAAAATTGTGAAGTAACAATGGTACTTGGAGATTTCAACGCGAACGTAGGAAGTGAAAAAGTGTACGGAATAACAGGTGGCTATGGCCTAGGAGAAAAGAATGTGAGAGGTGAAAGATTAATAGCATGGACTGAGTCACGCAGCAATATAATAGGCAACACCTGGTTTAAACACCATCCTCGAAGATTGTGCACTTGGAAAAGTCCTGGTGAAAATGTCCCCAATCCGATTGATTATATTTTGATTTCAAGAAGATTCGGGAGCAGCTTAGTTGGAGCAAAAACTAGACCTGGAGCAGACTGCTTTAGTGACCATGTTCCAGTTGTAGGAAAAATTAGAATAAAACTAAAGAACATTTGAAAAACACCACAGAACATCAAGTTAAATTTATGAATTTTTAGAACGGATAAAGAAATTAAGGACCAGTACAATGTCACTGTACAAAACCGGTATAATGCAATGGGCATTATACAGACTATTGATGAACAGTGGGATATGTTGCGTGAGTCAATTCAGCAGACATCAAAAGAGACAATCCCACCAACCCATAGAGTTGCAAATAAAGAAATGGATGTCAACCGAAATTCTGCAGTTGATGGATGAATGAAGGAAGAAAAAGAATGATAAAGAAGAATACTCTAGAATACAAAAAGAAATAGTGAACAAATGCAAAGTGGCTAAAGAAGCCTGGCTGAATCAAATGTGTACAGAGATTGGAGAAAACCACAGGAAAGACTCACGTTCCATGTACCAAAAGATAAATATGTTAACAGGAAAGATGACACGTAACAGCACTGGATGTTTGAAATCAAAAGATGGTGACTTATTAATGGGACATAGTAATATAATTACAGATGGGCAGAGTATATAGTGGAGTTGTATGATGATAATAGACCAGATGTAGAACTGCAGACCAACAATGATGGTCCACCAATAATGACTGCAGAAGTTGAGGATGCAATACGTCGTATGAAGAAGGGAAAAGCACCCGGGCCAGACAACATCTCACTGGAAGAAATCGAAGCACTGGGAGATTTTGGAATTGAAATAATGACTAAACTTTTAAATGATATTTATAATAGTGGGTATATTCCAAATGACCTTTTAAAATCCGTATTTATAGCTCTGCCTAAGAAACCAGGCACTAAAAAATGTGAAGACCATCGCACAGTAAGTCTTATAAGTCACATGACTAAGATTTTACTGAGAATAATTATGAGAAGAATAAGAAACAACATTAAACCAGAAATCACAGATGAACAATGCGGATTTGTTGAAGGAAAAGGTACAAACAATGCCATATACATCCTAAGGACATTGTCAGAAAGAGCTATAGAAGTAAAGACTGATTTGTACATATGCTTCATAGACTGTACAAAAGCATTTGACTGTGAAGCATGAAGAAGTAATCAAACTGTTAGAAAAATTAAACATTGATGGGGAAAGATCTGCGAATAATAAAGAATATGTATTGGCAGCAAACAGCAGCTATAAAAATTAACAACTGTTTAGGTACATTTCAAAGCGTAAAGAGGGGCGTACGACAAGGATGTGTACTGTCACCTGATTTGTTTTCAATATACAGTGAATATAATGAGAGCTTTAATTGGTATGCCCGGAATTGTGGTTGGTGGGCACAATATAGATAATTTAAGTTATGCTGATGACACAGTCTTGATAGCAACAAGTCAGAAAGAACTACAGGAAATGATAGACATTGTGGTGTTAGAAAGTGGAAGAATGGGCCTCAGTTTGAATAATGGGAAGACAGAAATAATGGTGGTATCAAAGAAACGAATAATTCCTAAGTGTGTAATAAAAGTCAATGGTGTTATTTTAGGACAAGTACAGAAATTTAAGTATCTGGACACAAGGATAACATCAGATGGAAGATGCATAACTGAGATAAGAAACAGAATAGGACAGGCAAAAACTGTATTTTCTAAAATGAAAAACATCTTGTGCAATATATCCTTGTCATTGAGAGTTAGAAAAAGAATTCTTGCTTGCTACATACATCCAGTTTTAACATATGGCTGTGAATCCTGGACAATCGGTAGGCAGGCCAAACAATTTCTGGAGGCCTCAGAGATGTGGTTTTTGCAGAAGAATGCTTAGAATACCTTGGACAGCCAAAAAGAGCAACCAAGAGGTTTTGAAACAACTTATCACAGACATCAGAAGGAGACAGTCATCATTTTTCGGCCATGATATGAGAAGAGGGAAAATAGGGGTTGTGTCTTTCTATCTTTCTACTTCTTTATATGAGTTCCAGTCAATACTTTCCTGGTTGTTTTAATATAATGTTTCTACAGCCTCGTGGTTTCTCCATCAGTTTTTTTATGCGCATTACGTGTTTCCACTTTCAGGTATGTTGGCGAGGGCATGGAAGAAGGCGAATTTTCAGAAGCTCGCGAGGATCTGGCTGCTTTGGAGAAGGATTATGAAGAAGTCGGATTAGACTCGGTTGCAGAAGAGGGCGAGGGCGAAGGAGAAGAATATTAGAAGCAAAGCGCATAGTAACTCTAGACTTCTAAAACGTTTACGACATCTGCAGCAGATTCCAAATTTTGGTGCTGCGTGCATCGAACAAGGACTGACGATGTTGTTTCTCTGTGACCCATGTGTCGTGTTAAGTTTCGGTAGTTAGTCTACGACGCCTGATAACCTACTACAGAATTTGACTTGTCGACAGCTGTCGTGTTGTGGACTGGGAATGGTTGCAGAATTTAATGTTCAATTGTTTGTAAGTAATTACATGGAATGGCACGATACGGTCCAGACTCCCTACCTGCACAGTAGATTCGGTGTAGATTAGCTTGACATATACGTTTTACGATGGAGATATGTGCCAGTATTTTATGATGTTCGTATTGTTCTCACTGTTGAATGCACACTGAAAAGCTATGAGGCTTACTGCAAATTACAGTTTGACAAAAATCTGTTCAGACGAAGGGACATATTTACATTACTGTGTGTACCATTTTGTTATACTTCCTTTTCGTCTTTTAAAAACGACAGTGTCGTTGAGAAGCTTACGTTGATTTGAATATATTTTATATAATGTATAATTTGTATTGAAATTATACACTATGCTGTATTTACTGTTTAATAAAATTATACACAAAGGAAAAGACCGAAGAAAAATTAAATGAAGGAAAGCCGGTTATTTTTAGATTGTTCCACGTCCAAATACAGAATGATTGTGAGTTGTTCTTTAACATTTAAAAATATAGCATTAGTACGGTAAAAGAGCGCCTTGGGTATCAAAGTTTAAACTTGGGTACGTAACCAAAGTTGGACACTCAGTTACTGGAACCATACAGTCCTGTCACGTGTATCACTTGACTGACAGACAGCGGCGACGATAGGCACATTTGAATGCTAGCAGCGGCAGATATACTATGCTGCATGACTAGATGTATGTGCTTCGGATGAGTTATCTTGTTCAACGAAAAGTGTGTTCTGAAATGTTGTTTGAGACTGTGTATCCATTAAATAATAGTTTACAACCATGCTTTCTAAAGTTTCCGTTATTTTAGTGCGTTTTGTGGGCTTGTTTATTTGAGTATGTCATCATCGTCAGGTGCTTTGCCGACTGGCGTGGGCGATCATGCCTCTTCATAATCTGCGATCTCCAGCAGCATTTATCATGTGGTGTGCCGACACACCTCCATGTCATGCAATAAGACTGTCAAGCATCTTTTCTCGTTGTCTTCCTCTATCCCTCTTTCCACAGATCTTTCCAGTGGTCACAACTTGTTCTATTTTCCTTTTTTCATAACATGGCCAAAAAACGATGACTGTCTCCTTCTGCTGTCTGTGATAAGTTGTCTTCGGGCTCCCGTCTTTTTCAAAACCTTTTGGTTGCTCTTTTTGGCTGTCCAAGGAATTCTAAGCATTCTTCTGTAAAACCACATCTCTGAGGCCAAAATTGTTTGGCCTGCCTACCGATTGTCCAGGATTCACATCCATATGTTAAAACTGGATGTATGTAGCAAGCAAGAATTCTTTTTCTAACTCTCAATGACAAGGATATATTGCACAAGATGTTTTTCATTTTATAAAATGCAGTTTTTGCCTGTTTGAGTATGTATGTAATTAAAACTTATCGTGTATTGTTCATTTAAAGATCATCATCATCGCACATCGGGCATGACCATAAGTGCTCCAATCTTCTCTTGAGTATGTCTCCAAGTGTTCTTAGGCTAACATCTCCCATTCTGTTCTAGCTGATATAACGACGATTTGCTCTCGCCTGGTTCTCCTGTCTAGCAACATGGCACACTCAGGGTATGCAGTCTTTTCAGTGAAAAATCCTTTGTCATTGCATTGCCGACTTTTGCAGATAGGCTAAAGGTGCTGCAGGCTAAGTCATACCTCAGAGTAGTTGCAGACAAAGAGCACACTCTGCATGAAGCTTTGGCTGCAGTTAAGGGTCGGAGGCTGAAAAGGAGAGAATCGTAGATTGCTCAAGCAGAAGAAACAATAATACAAGTATGCATGCTGGAGAACATTGCACGACGAGAATAGTGGGCCAGCGTTGTTCTTCTTATTTTTCTTTTCCACCTTGTACCTTAGCATAGTGTTGGCCAAAAAATAGTTATGATAAGATTTTGATTTGATTTCATTCGAAAACTGACATCACAGCACTCGGGACATTCCCATAAGTGCATCTTCCCCATCTTCAGCAGCCAGCGAAGAGTTCCGATACTAATGGTGCCAGTAGCATTTTGATTAAACGTCCGTCTTGCCTTTCCTTTGAGCCTCGGGCATCTGCCGGAACCTCTCGTCACTCCCCCCTGCATCAATCTCACCAGACTGTGGTGATCCATCTGCTCCTCCGAACTGTATACGTTTCCCACAAGGCCCTAACCACGTCTGCCTTATCATGTATTAGTATTCCACCAAGTTGTGCAGAGCCAGCCTGTCTGTCCACCTGTTCATTTCCCAACACACCGGCTGCCCCGATGAAAAAATCCAGACAATACTCCTCACTGGTGTCCCCCTGCAGAAAAGCATGCCACTCTGCACGGAACATACCTGCCCAGATCTTTCTCATCATGCTTTCTGTGTCAGTTACAATCACGATGTGTGTGTGTGTGTCGTGTTCTGTAGCCAGCGGAAAGCTGCAGTGACCGCCTCCACCTCCATTCTTAAGCTGGATGTTGTGGTATTATATGCTAGGCTCTCCTGTACCAAACGTTGACCATTAACTTTTGCTAAGAAGCCCCAATCACTTCTTTTGCCTGGTAGTCTGGTAGTCTGGTAGTCTTAGTTTCAGCTTCATAGCAAACGGGTCGCCCCATCTTTGCTCCGCTCCTGTGCCAGCGAAAAACACTCAGAATGTCTATCACAGTCCCTTGTGGAAAAATTGACAGACTGCTGTCTCAGCATATCTAGCATACACTCGCATTAAAGCATATGGTAGCCATCTGAAGTGCTAACACAAACAGTCCAACATTAGAAATGCAGTTCATCATTGATAATAGCAGAACTTGTCGCCAACAAATCAGCAGTTGGCCGCGCGATCAATTTTAATACGGGCCCCGCCAGCATTGCACGACAGGCATCGCGCCATTTTCTGAATCTACAATTCACACCACGTTGGTCACAGTCGAAAAAAGACATTCCAAATGCAATCCGCAGCTCACAGGGTCACGCCATGCATTCAACTCAGAAGCTGGGCGACGAAACTATATCCAGTCTACAAATGGAGCAAAAATACTTCGGCCACCGTCCGGCAGAAGCAAAAAAATTGCCTCTGCTCCGAACAGCGCCGCTGTCTAGCGTCCATTTTTGCCTCTTGACACTGAACCGTCTATGTAAATGATCAAATCCTCTGAGCGAGCATTATCTTGAATTATTGCTGAATTTCCATTTCCGTGGCACCTGCTGGCCAGTCTCTGCATTCCCGGCTCAGTGTGATTATGACCCTACACAAGTCTGACTGTTCAGGTGGCACTTTGACCCACTCCTCTCCTCGCCTAATTTTCTCAAGGATGCAAACCTGTCTGATTGTGTCTTCTGCCTGAGCCATCTATGACTTCCCTCTTATCAGCCGCTGACCCTTCGCGGCATCCAGAGCTTCATGCAGAGGGTGGTCTGTGTCTGCAGCTACCCTAAGATATTACTTCGCTTGCAGCACCTTGTACCTACCTGCAACAATCGGCAAACCAAGGATGTATCGCATACACACCACTGGGGTGTCTTTGGTGCAACCTTGAATGACCCGCATAGCTGTGTTCTGTATGCGCTCTATTTTGTTCATCTGACTTTTTGAGACGGTAAGCATTCCCAGGCCATAATCAACCACTGACAGGATCAGATGCTGATATAGTTTGAAAAGCATTCTCTGCTCTATGTCAATTGCAGCCATAGTCTTAAGTGCTCTAAGTCCTCCACATGGTCCTTAAAGGACAGGCTCCTGTCAAATGCAATTCCCAGATACTTTAGTTTGCTCTCCCTGTTGACGTTTCTACCATCTATTGTGAGACTTGGGACATTAGCTTTCACAATTCTGTTGTCTAGAGAACACCACAAAACAGACGCCTTTTCCGAGTGGACGACAGCCCTCATTTCTATACACCACTCAGTCACTTTGTCTACTGTCGTTTGTAGCTCCCGGGCTGTTTGTTCCCTCTCTTCACCCTGCCTATATGCAAGTATATCATCCGCAAAAGTCAGTATCCTTCCAACTCCTGGTGTTTCTAAGCTTGCAGTCTTGCTCGTATACACGTTAAAGAGCACAGGCGAGATGGCGGATCCATGTGGCAGTCCTGGGGCCAAACTGCATGGTTCTGATGTCCATGAGCCCAGTCGGAGAGCAACCCGACGTGAATACAGGACAGCTGCAACCCAATTCACCAGCCATGGACTGATCTCCTTCTCTCTCAGCGCAGTCATTAAAATGTCGTATCTCACTCGGTTATAAGCATCCTCCAGATCCAGTCCTACCGCCATAGTTTCCTCTCTGTTCTGGAACCCTTCATAGACGTCAAAAGCAAAAGTGGCCGCATTTGCCCAAGTGTCCTTTCCTGGTCTGTAGCTTCCCAGACCTTTTGGGAGAAGCTTCCCCCTTTCCAAAACTTCTTGTGGCTTTACAGCAACTATATTCTCCAAGACCTTTCTAAATGTGTTTTGTAAGGTGATGATTCTAAAGCCATTGAGCTTAGAATGATCTTTAAAAGGTTTTGGTAGTCTCCGCCATTTCCACTTCCTCTCGTGAGCTTGAGGGTGTCTGTCGTACTTTTTTTTAGCTGCTTCACTGCGGCTTTCTTTGACTTCCACGCCTGTTCAACTTCTGGAGTCCACCATGAAAAATTTGTTCTGCCAGTTCTGTTGCATGCTCCCTGTCTGAGGCGTCCAAGTAGGTTGTTGGTCCACTTATACCGGAAGGTCTTGCGTGCTCTCCCAGCTTTAACCTTACTGCGTTTAGAAATCAGGACTGAACATGGTAGGGGATCACTCCCATGGTCATTCAGGACAGTCCATTTAACATCTAA